CTCACAGTTTGGAGGTTCCAGTCCGTGACTGGCTGAACCCATTGCTTCTGGGCTTGTGGCAGGCAGCACATCACAGAGGGTCATGCACAGTACAGAAGACCTGTTCCCCTCATGGGTGCAGTGAAGAGGGGGAAGCCAAGCCTCAGTGCCCACAGTCCCCTGTGAGGCCCACCCCCAGTGACCTACAGCCTCCCCTGCCTAACCCCCAGCAGCAGCACAGCCTGGGAACAAAGCCTTCCACACACGGCCTTGGAAGCACCTGGTCCATATCGCAGCAACACCTGCATGGTGCCGTTCCACAGAGATCTCAGTCACATTTGAATACACCTTACACGGAGGAGAGGATCTACAATTCACCTCTCAGGTTACAGACCTAAACAACCTCTTACCTTCCAGATACTTTATGGGCAGCTTCCCACCCCAGGGGACTTTCTCTGCTCCTAGCTCTTTCCACCAATCAAGCTTCCCCCTTCTTAACAATGCATTATTATTCAGTTCATGGATTCTCTTTAGAGTTTTCCATCCAAAACATATAATTAGGCTGGGCATGGTGGCACATGCCTATAATCCCAGCACCTGGGAGGCTGAGGCAGGAGGGTTGTTGTGAGTTTGGGGCCAGCCTAGGTTACATAGTGAGTTCAAGCCCAACCTGAATTAGAATGAGACCCTGTCTCAAAAAATCTAAAACAAACAAATAAACAAAATGAAACAAAACAAATGTATAATTATAAGCAGTGAGATAAGCTGAACCATATGAATACCTGCGATTTCGGATGGTTTAACCAGGCATGTCCAACCGCAGGCAGCATGCAGCCCTGCACAGCTGGTAATGCGGCCTTGTAAGCTGCTACCATTGCAATGTGATTTTTAGCAGTATTCTTCATGATCCATTGCATGAACACAGACTGCCTAGGCAATGATGGAGGAGGGTGAACTGCAGTGCTAAGCCTGCCTCCCGAGGCCACCACACACACCTGGATGGGAGCTCACATGTGTCAGATGTTACACACACTCGTGCAACTTTGAGAGTAACAGTGCTGCAGCCTACCTACACACACGTACCTGCAAAGTCAAGTGTTCGTTGTTATTAAGCAGACATACAAGTTCTCTTAATTATTAAACTTGGACTTGTAGTATTTCATAAAATAACTTAATAAGTTAAAATAGCCAGGTGTGGTGGTGCCTGTAATCTCAAAATGTGGAAGGCTGAGGCAGGAGGATTGCCACAAATTGAAGGCCAACCTAGGCTACACAGCGAGTTCAAGGCCAGACTGAACTAAATAGTGAGACTGTCTCAAAAAAAATTTAAAAAATTTGTAGCAGCTATGGGATAGGAAGTACAAAATGTATCAATTTTTGCTCACATTGTCAAAATTACATATACAACACTACTAGTACCAGAAATATTATAATAAAAACGTTAAAAAGCAGGTCTGCTATATATAGACATGACCTTCATTATATATTTTTATATGTGGCCCAAGATAATTCCTCTTTCCTCAATGTGGCCCAGGGAAGTCAATAGGTTGGACACCCATGATTTAACCATTTAGGCATTTTTAACAGGCACTGGAGGGGGGAAGATAATGTTGCCAAGACAATGAAAAATGAGACCTGGCTGGGGAGAATTGAAGAAACCTCAGGTCATAGAGAGGTTTGATGCTTCCAAGAGCCACAGTGTAGGAACAGATGAAGGATATAGCATATCTGTGATAGTAAAATTTCATGGGAGGCTGACCACTAGGAAAACAGCTGGCTAAAACATCAGCTTTGGAAGGTGACTGAAAGACATGTGGGAGACACTGGCTTTGTGTATCTTGGTTCTGGGTTTTTTTTTTGTATATCCTTTTATTGGTACATTTTAGGTATACAATATAATGACATTCATCATTGGAGATATGCACCTTTACATAATCTCTCTTGGTTCTTATTTTTTTCTCCCTTCTCTTGCCCTTCCTTCAACCCCTCCATCCCTCCCTGTTTACAAAGACTTTGTTTCCTTTTTTTCATTTTCTCATATTCATTCCATTCCCTTCTTTCCTTTCCCCTACCCCTCCGACTTCCCCCTTCTGTTTGCCCCTTTTCTTCCTATTTCACGTTATCTATTATACCTTTTAGTCCTTATTTACACTCTCAGTTTCTCACACCAGAGAAACTATTCGGTATTTACACATGTATGTTCTATTTATTTCACTTCAGAGTATCACCTCAATGTGGATCCATTTAGCTACAAATGTCTCTAATTTTTCATTTTTGATGGCTGAGTAGTACTCTGTTTTATAAAAAAACCACATTTTCTTGATCCAGTTTCCAGTTGATGGGCATTTGGACTGTTTCCAAGGTTTAGCTATTACAAATTGTGCTCCTATGAACATGGGTGCACATATATCACTATGGTATGATTCTTTTCATTCTTTGGGGAAGATCTCCAGCAGGGGAATAGCTGGGTCAAATGGGACTTCCAGTCCTAGTTCTTTGAGGTATCTCCATACTGATTTCCACAGTGGTTGCACCGGTCTACACTCCCACCAGCAGTGGAGCAAGGTTCCTCTTTCCCCATAGCCCCGCCAGCATTTGTTATTGGTTGATTTCTTGATAGCAGCCATCCTTTCTGGAGTGAGGTGGAATCTCAGCATTGCTTTCATTTGCATCTCTTGAATGACCAGTGAAGTTGAACATTTTTTCATATGTTTATTTGCCATTTCTAGTTTCTTTGTCTGAGAAATGTCTGTTCATTTCAGATGCCCATTTTTGGATTGGGTCTTTACGTTTAGGAGGTCTGATTTTTTTAAGTTCTTTATAGATTCTAGATAGTAGACCTTTGTCTGAGGGACTGCTGGTGAAAATTTTTTCCCACATTGTGGGTTGTCTCTTCACACTGCTAGTGGTTTCTCTTGCTGTGCAGAAGCTTTTTAGTAAGAAGAGATCCCACGTGTTGATTGTTTGTGCTAGTTCACGGGCAACTGAGGTTTTGTTCATAAAGTCTTTTCCTACCCCAGTGTCTTCAAGAGTTCTACCTAACCTCTGTTCCAGCCAGTTCAGCATTTCTTTTTTATATTTAGATCTTTAATCCATTTCGATTTTAGTTTAGTGCATGGTGAGAGATATAGGTCTAGTTTTAGTCTTTGGCAAGTTGAATTGGTTCTGGGTTTTTAACCTGGACTCCTGTGCCCTTCGAAGTCTGTAGAGGAAGTGCTGGGCACAATACACTGGCACTGTGTTGCTCCTGCCTTGTCTGGGACTCATGCTATGTGCAAGGCTGCTCCTGATGCAGTGAGTGGGCAAACTGCCGCAGGGCACTTGCTGGGTGTCTCAGTTACTTTTCTCTCATTGCTGAGACAAAATACCTGACACCCAAAGTTAAAGGGGGAAAGGTTTATTTAGCTCAGTTTGTAGAGGTTTCAGTCCATTAACAGCTGGCTCCAAGGCAGGGTGGTGTGGCAGAGGGGCAGCAGTTCATGGTGGGCAGAAGGTAGCAAAGCAAGCAAGGGACCAGACAAATCTCTTTCTGTCTCTTATATTGTATCCAGGCTACCGGGATTAGGGGAGTGTCAAACCAATCAGTGGACTGATTTAGTAATCACACACCCTTAAACCCAAGCGTTGTACCTTGAATCAGTTACACACTCTAGATTCAGCCACCTCTGAAAAGCCCCACCTATGACCTCATGAGGCTTTGGGGGGACAGCTAGACACAACCATAACACTGGGCCCCTGGGCGCATGAAGAGGGGTGGGGCTGCGGGCCTTTGGGAGACAGCTTTATCACTCGTCTGCCTTCACTGCCTGCCAGGCTGGGCTCTGGGGTTGGCATCATCCCACCTTCTCCCATCTCCAGCTCCGTGCCCAGGTTCTTCTCAGTCTCTCCTAACATACCACATTGGCAGAGGTGTTAAAATTTGGTAATCTGGTTGGTTTGTAATCACAAATCAGTTTAATTTACATTTCTTTGATAACAGAAGAGGTTGGGTGTCTTCTTCCAGTTAATGGGCTTCTTGGTTTGTTTTTTTAGGAAGACTTGCTGTAGGCTCTAATCTGCTGAGTTGTGTGTGTGTTACAGACTTTTTAAAAAGTAGATATATCCTTTTGATCCCCGGTACCAAAAAAAAAAAAAAAAAAAAAAAAAAAGTAGATATATCCTGGATCTGAGTCCTTGTTTCAGGTGTATGTTTGCAAATCTCCCCCACCCCGTTTACTGCTTTGTCTCTTTATGGTATTTTATTATATTTTAAAGTAGCGAGGTTGTACGTTTATAAAGAAAAGTGCTCTGCAGAGTGAGTTTGGGGCAAGAAAAAGTACGAAAAGAAGGCACCCTACAGCTCAAAGGCGCCCCTGCGAAAGTTTAAAGAACGAGTTCACACCAGGGTGGGGGTACACGCCTGTAATCCTAGCACTCCGGGAGGTGGGCAAATGGGACTGCCAGTCTGAGGCCAGCCTGGAGTATCAAGAAAAACTCAGAGCTTAATTTTACTTAGCTCTCTCTGTCTCTGTCAATCTGTCAATCCCTCCCTCCATGTCTTTTCTTTTTTGGTACCAGGGATCGAACTCGGGTCCTTGAGCTTTCGAGGAGGCGCGGGAACCACTGAGCTAAATCCCCGGGTTCCTCTATTTCTTTCTTGTATTGGGAGCCTCAACCTAGGGCCTTAGCCCTGCATTACATCCTGGACTCCCTTCTCCTTTTTCTACTTTCATATTTCTACACAGGTCTCCCCAAATCACTAAACTCAGCAGACTGGGCTCTGCGATTCTCCTGCTTCAGCCTCCCTAGTGCTGCGATTACGGGCAGCACTACGCCCGCTTCCCTCTCCGTGCTTCCTGGGTGCCCTCTACGCCTAGGGTCAGCCCCGGCCTCGGGGACCGGGACGCGTCCATCCCGTTGGCTCCGACTCTGTTCGGATGATCCGGATGATCTCGATGATCCCGAGTCCCGGCGCGCAGGACGCCCGCGCAGGCGCAGGCGCAGGCGCAGCCGCCCGAGCCCACTGCTCGAGACGGCGCCCTCTGCTGGACTTCGGAGCGAAATCCAAAGCGCTTCCCTCAGTCGCGTGAAACACCTTGTCAGACTCAGGCTCGGCTGGCTCAGGGCGGCGCCCGCCGCCTGCTCCTCGGAGGTGGCGTTACCAGTTGTGACAGTTCGTCCAAATCTCTGTTTCTGGGGCTCAGAAACGCCTGGTAGGCCGGGACAGCGCTCCTGGGAGTCTGGGTGGGCCGGAGCCCAGTTTGGGGACGCCCTCCGTCCTGGCCCCTTCCGCTCTGGCCCTGCTCCCCTTCCGCCGTGAGGCTGGGGGCGCGGGGCGCGGTGTCCAGCAACGGGAGCGCTCCCGGTACCTCCTTCCCCGCTCCTCCGGGGCCGGAGTCGTCACCTGGGCACACGTGAGGGTGGCCACTCACGTGCGCAGCATACTCTGAGCGAACCACCTTTGTTTTCTCATTTGGTTAGTCGTTTTTAAATTCCGCAGTGGGCTTATAATTTCCTTTTGGGCGAAATTTATGAAGTCAATCTACTTGGTAGAGCCAGGGGAAAAATGGAGGTCTCCAAACTGGAATCAGGGATTTGGCAGGGGAGCAGAGGTTGTGGGCAGGGTGAGGTGGAAAGGAGCTCTATTGGGGGTGGCCTTGGAGGGACCCCACCCTGCCAGGCGGAGGTGGAGGGCGCTGGCTGGAGGATGCGGGCCACGAGCGGGAGGCTGGGCTGGCCTGCACCATCCAGAAGGGACCTGCGGCGGTACCCGCACTGTCCAGGCCACGCTCGCAGACAATGCCACAAGAACAACAGCCGCTCTTGTTCTCATTGTGCTAGCAGCTGGAGGTGCAAGATCTTAAGTGTGGTGCGGGTAGTTTCTCCTGCGCCTTTCTCTTTGCTTGGAGAGGCTGTCTTCTTGTCGTGTCTGCTCATGGCCTTCCTCTTTCTCCTCTCTGTGGCCCTGGGCAGTGCTGGAGGACAGAGGCCCACCTTTGACTGCTGGCTTCCTGGCCAGGGGAGCCAAGGTGGGTGAGTGGCAGCACCCTCTGAGTTTCCTGGGCAGATCAGCAGCTGTTGCTGTTTCCAAGGAAGCTCGATTCAGGTCAGCTGGGGTCGTCTGGAGGAGTTCGGCCAGGAGCCAGGCCTCTCCTCCTGCTGTGGATAGAGGTGTCACATGTGGTCCTCTGAAACCTGCTGTCTCACCAGATGCTCAGGCACCCTGGGGTCTGTGGGCAGTGTTGTCCCGAAGATCCTGGCTGCAGCAAAGGAGCTAGCTCCTGGGTGTGGCCACTATCTATGACTGGCTGCAGCAGTGCCCAGTTCAGGGCCCAGTGCAGACCAGGAGCTCAGTTCTGTTTGGTTTCCTGAAGCCTGTGCTTTGGTCCATTCCTCAGCAGAGGCCAAAAGCTCTGCCACCAAGACCATGATGCCAGGGAGCCCCATCTGATCACTAGCAACCAGCCACTGTCTATGTGGGACAGCCCTGATGGGGGTCTCATTTGGGGCTTGCTCCTTGATTTTCCCCAGTACTAGGGATTGAACTCAGAGCCTTATCACTGAGCTACATCCCAGCCCTTTTATTTTTGTTTTTTATTTTGACAAAGGATCTCACTAAGTTGCTGAGATGCCTAGACTGGGCTTGAACATGTGATCCTCCTGCCTCAGCCTCCTAGAGTGTTGACATTACGGGCTCAGTTTAAGCACCAGATTGGAAGCACCAGTTCTCAAGCTTAACAGCCCATGCAGAATATCTGGAAGAGACTTGAAAAATAAGATGCTGGGGTCACCCACTTGGGCCCAACTTAAATCATAGGTGTCCTCATTTTTTTTTATAAGCTCATTAGATGACTAGTGAAAATGGAAGGGTAGTGAGTTTGCTAATTGATCTTTATGTATTAGTTATTACTGGCTCAGCTGTGAGGAATAGTCCTGAATAATATAGGCTAATACAAGATAGAAGTTTATTTCTGTCTCATGTACAAGAAGTATGAAAGTAGACAGTTTTGTGGCTGTATCTTCACGATGTCTCAAGCTCCTTCAGTCTTGGGCCTTTTAGTCCTATGTCCACTTCATTGTTAAGATGGATGCCAGCACTCCAGCCATCACATGTATGTTCCAGGCAGCTGGATAGAGGAAAGAAAGATGAGGAGTATGTCCTCTTATAAGATGCTTCCAAAAAAAAATTAAAAGAGGCTTCCTAGAAGTGTCACAAAACACTTACACTTATATTTCCTTTAGCAAAAAGACACAAAAAGTGCCATAAAATAAACAGAAAAATTAATAATTTAGAACTTATTAATTTGGGAAGTTTATGCTATGAGTTTAAGCTGTTGTAAAAAATAACTTTTTTAAAAATGAGCAAAAGACACATCCCAAAAGATGTCCAAATGGCTCATGAGCATATCTGTCATTACTTACCTGTTAATGAAAATTAAAAGCTCCAATGAGATCCTGCCGTTCAAGTGGAGTGACTAAAATGGAAGCGATTGTCATCAACAGTTGGAGAAGGGGGTGGGTTAGGGAAGTCCACATCTACTGCCCAGGGCTGGAGGTTCATTACAACATTTACAGGTGGGTGGAGTTCAATGGTACAGCGCCTGCTTAGCCCGCACAAGGCCCTGGAAAGAAGGAAAGAAAAGAAAAAGAAGAAAGTACTTTGATATGGCCCAGAAATTCCACTCTGGTATTTACATAAGAGGAATAGAAAAGCTGGGCGTGGTGGGGCACACCTATAATCCCAACACTAGGGAGGCTGATGCTGGAGGATTGCTGTGAGATTGAGGCCAGCCTGGAATACCTAGGAGAGCCTGTCAAAAAAAAAAGAAAAAAGAAAAGAAAAAAAACCCAAAAGTAAAGGGATGAAAAATTGTATATTATGCAGACATTGGTCAAAATATCAAGAAGTATATCCCAGAGCAAAGAAAACTTCTAGGGACAGTAAAGGACAATATATAATTCTAAAAGGGTAAAAATCACCAAGAAGGCCTAGACATTTTAAATGTATATGTACCAGATAAGATAGTTATAAAATACATAAAGTGAAACTGAGAAAAGAGAAACAGATACATTCACAATTACAGTTTGGAGATTTCAGTGCCCCTCTCAAACATTGTTCAAACTAGACAGAAATTGGCAAGGACAGAACAACTGGCTTTTATAGAATACATTACTCCACCCAACATCGGCAGCCTATGCCTTTCCAAGTGCCCTCCGAACACAGAGACAGACCACACACAAGGTGACACAGAGAGTGCAACAAATTGAAGTCATCATGTACATCCTCTGACCATGCCACAGGAATAAAACTAGAGATCAGTAACAGAAAGATAACAGGAAAATCTCCAGATATTTGGGAACTAAAGAATACCTTTTTTTTTTTTTTTAGAATATCTTTTTGAGCAATCCACGAGTCGGAGTCAAAGAGGAAGTCTCAAAATTAAAAAAAAAAAAAAGAATGAAAATGCAAATGCCACAGTGAAGTTTGTGGAGTGCAGCTGAAGCTGTGCCTAGAGGGAAAGCTACAGCACAGAAGGCTAATATGAGAAGAGCTGCCTCACATCAGGGATATAAACTCACAGCCCCAAACCCAGAAAAAGAAGTATAAAGTAAACTCAAAGTAAGGAGAAGGAAAAAAACACTAAATCTATGAGTAGAATCAGTGTAGCTGACCCTCAGACTCCACAGATTGGCGCCAGGAGCCCCCTTGGAGACCCAAACACCCAGATGCTCAAGTCCGTTACATAAAATGGTTCGGTGTTTGCATAGGAGCTGAGCACCACCTCCTGAATCATCTCTAGATGACGTGTACTACCTAATTCAGTATAAACGCTGGCCAATAGTTGTTACTGTATTGTTTGAGGAATAGTGACAAGACAAAGTCTACACAAGTGCAATAGATTAAATTACACTGAGAAGTTGGTCGAACTCTTGGATAGGAATCCTTGGACACGGAGGGCTGGCTGTACCCGAGATGAAAATGGGAAAGCGACCCAGCCACTTGAGATAGCATTTTCTGAAGGGTCACTGCACAAATCCCAGGCCTTGGCTTCTGAGCTCTTTGCTCTCAAGGAAGGTGCTTGATGAGGCAGAGCAACAAATCTTGTGATTCCTCTGTGACCTTGGGGGCAAACTGAGCCTCCAGGGCCTCCCCACTTTCCCTTCGGTTCGTGCACCAGACACACTGCCGTGGTGGAGCCCAAGGCGGAGTGTCCCAGGCACAACAATGATATTTCTGGGCTCATGGGCCACAAATGGGAAGTCAGGGCAGCACAGGCCTCAGAGATAGGTGATCCAAGGCCTCCAGCCTCATTGAGGTGGTACCTTTATCCTTCTTCCTGAATCTCCAAGAGCCAGATGGTATAGCTCTAATGCGCTCTTGGCTCTACCTTGGAGCTGTGGCAAAGGAGAAAGGGCTCCTTAACCAGCTTCTATAGAAAAATCTTGGGCTGTGATCTGATTGGTTCTGCTTGAGTCATGTGATCACAGCCAGGCCACTCCCGGCGGAGCAGAGGCGGGGTCTGTCCTCCAGGGAGCTGAGCAGAAACCTAGCAGCCCAGCTCCTGAGCTGGGACACCTGCTGTGCATGGGGCCTTGACTGCGCCTGGGCACAGGAGTCAGGAGGACTCCTCAGGAGCACCCTGGAGCAGGCCCACACATATGTGGGGAAGGCTGGATCACCCTAGTATCACGATTGCTGCAATGAACCCAGCAAAATAATAGGAAACAGGTACTCTGAGTCCCTCACCCCCACATGGTTCCCTTCCCTGCCATGGCTATGGCCACGGAGGAGTCCTCATCCGGCCTGGTCCTTGGTCCATGTCCTGGGCATCCTTGTGTCCAGCTGTCCACACTAGGCCCCTTCCTGCCGCAGAAGCCCGAGCCTTTGCTTCTACCCTTGCCTCTCAGGAAAGCTGCTTCAAATGATGTGTGTAGACACATAAACCCATGCAGAAGTGTGAACAGAATGTGATTTTATAATCTGTTGTTTATTCATATTACTCATATTCTATAAAATACTTATACAGTATATAAATGTACCTATTAGTATAGACAGCAAATTAGAGAGAAATTAATATACAGTTTGAGAGGGACTTGGCCCTCAAGGAAGTCAGCACAAAAATAAAGACATGAGAATTGTGGCTGGAGGCAAATCTGAAGAAGGCCAGGCCTCTCAGGATGGAGATGCAATAGGCAGCCCTGCATTTCTACCCAGAGATACAGCAACTCGAGGTTAGACTGTAACTAGCACCAAGTGGTCCAGTGTGCCCAGCAGACACCAGACACATAGGTGGGAACCAGTACACCTGGACCCACACTCCTCTGCCTTTCCAGGAAGGTCTTGCTACGTGACTCATTTCCCTACTGGATCAGCATTAGCTAAGTGGCTATTCCTGTACTCCTACGGTTGATTATTGTTTGTCCCACATCGTACCCACTTTGTGACTCTGCTGTATAAATTACCCTGACAAAGGGCCTTGGTGGCTGCCCACTTGGCACCCCTCCTGGAAATTCAGGAGCTATTCTTTCCTTTATTTCCAATAAAACTCTCCTGACTTCCTCCTTTGCTTTATGACTTCATTCCTGAGGTCCTGAGACCATGAACTTGGGACATCTGACAGCAGTCAGGTCAGGAGTTATTTTTCCTATACCACTGTCACTATCGTTCTTTCATTCATATGTCTTGTTTTCTTCCTTTTCCTCTTCTTCTTTTCCTATTTGTAGCCCTGGGAATTAACCTAGCTGCATCCTTAGCCCTTTTTAAATTTTTTTATTTTGAAACATTTTCTCCCTAAGTCACTAAATTGCCCAGGCTAGGCTTGAACTTGCAATCATCCTGCCTCAGCTTCCCAGAGTGCTGGCATTACAGGTGTGCACCACTCTGCCTGGCTTCGTATGCCTTATTTTCTAATTAAAACTTGTAAAATGTTACAGTAAAGTTCCTTATTACTCTAGCCTGAATCACGTTCTGTCTTTATTCTCTGACTTGAGAAAAATCAATCATGAATTTAGTGTTTCTCTTTCGTTTCGTTTTTGTTCTTATTTTCAGCTGAGTAGGTGTTAAGCAGGTAATTTGTTCACACGTTTCAAAAGTCACAAGGTACAGAAGGAAGGGTCTCCCTCTGCACTCTGCATTCTAACACTCCCACAGAAGGGAAGCCAAGAGCAGCAGGTGGGTGGGCACTGGGCAGTGCATGTCCACAGCTGGTGGGAAGGGGTGTATCATCACTTGGGCTGTGGCCTCCCACCCTGTTTTCTTGCAGCAATTTGATCTCTAGTGGTGTTAGGATTAGGGTTAGTTAAAAGTGACAGAAACATCAAGCAACAGTGGCTTCAACAAGGTACATGGTTATTTCGTTTCTTTTCTATTTTTCTTTTTGGTACCGGATATCGAACTCAGGACTTGTGTTTGCGAGGCAGGTGGTGGCACCACTGAGCTAAATCCCTGGCCCTCTTTTCTGTTTGTTTTTGAGACAGGGTCTCGCTTTTAGTTTAGGCTGACCTTGAAATCACTATGTAGCCTTGGCTGGCCTCTAACTCATGGCAATCCTCCTGGCTCAGCCTCCCAAGTGCTGGGATTAGAGGTGTGCATCACTACTCCAGACTCTTTTTTTTTTTTTTTTTTGAGACATTGTCGTGCTATGCAGTTCAGACTGGACTTGAATTTAAGGCAGTTCTCCTACTTCTGCCTCTCAAGTGCTGAGATTACAGGTGTGTACCTGCATGCCTGGCTGGTATATGGTTATTTCTTACATGGATAGTTTTAAAATAGGCAGCCCAAAGCTGTTAGGAACTTTGCATAATCATCAGGAGCCTATGTTATTGCTGTACCATACTCAACACATGGCTTCTACTTCACTGTCCAAGATGGCTGCTTGAGCTCCAGCTATCACATCCTCATTGTAGCTATTAGGTAGGGGGAAAGGAGGAAGAGGGCCTGCTGCTTTTCTTTTAGGATGGTTTCTTTAAGATGCAAATGACATTTCTGGTACTCTATTGGTCAGGATGGTTCATGGTTCATGGGAAATATAGTCTTGATCTTAGCTGTCTGTTTCCACTGTGATTTGGAGGTTCTGTTACCAGGGAAGGAAGGGAGAACAGCTATCAAGGGATGATTCTGCAGGCTCTGCTTCAAATACTCTGAAATGGAAAGGTCCCTTCCTATACAGAGAGCCAGCTGAACGGGGCAGGGACTTGGGGCTCTTCCCATGCAGGACCTTTCCCTCTCTGTGGTCCCGAGTTCAGACTGACTGTGCGCCCCGCTGGCCTGGAGAAGGGCTTGCAGGCCGGCGGGTGGAAGCCCTCACTCCCTAGGAAGTGGAGTGGGGGCTTTGTCCCCAGAAGCCAGGCCATCCCTTAGCTCTCTCCCTGGAGGGTGGCCTCGCGGGGACAAAGAGGCCCAGCCGGCTCCCTGGAGTCGCCGCTGAGTCTGAGTGCCAGGCTTTTTGTTTGAGAAAGAAAAGTTTTCCCAAGTACTGGGCTGCTTCTCACACACAGAGTCACGGGGCTGGAGTCTGCAGCGGAGAACGGGGGTGTGGGAGGGGGAGTGGGCCAGGCCAGCCGCAGGGACCAGAAGGGTGACATTTTTGAAGGGCAGAGCTGCCTGCGCAGTGGTGGGGGAGCCCTAGGAAGGTGACCTGAGGCCCCACTGCCCTGGACATCCCCGCACTGAGCACCTCGGCACCACCAGGGTGAGCTTGTTCTGGGTCTGAGGCTGCCTAGAGACAGGGCAAGGCCTGGAGGCCCCAATAGTCTGTGCAAACTCAGGATGTCCCTTTGAGTGGACCTGTCCTTCACCTCCAGAGGGAAGGGAGCTTGGAGCCAGGAGGAGGGCAGCGCCTTCCACAGGGCTGCGTTGTGGGGGAGTCCAGGTTGCTGTGTCGTTCAGACCTTCCTGGCTGCCCCAAGACCCGCTCCCAACCCAGGGCTTGCTCACACACAGGAAGGTGGAGCTGTCCGGGAGGCCCTGGGGGTAGGGAACAAGCTGGCCTTGGCCAGGAGGGACAGGTGAAAATTGTCACTGCTCTTCAGAGGAAATGAAGGGAAAGAGGACAGTCCTTGAAGGGGCCCAGAGGAGACTGGGCCTGTGGCTCTGCTCTTCAGTGACCTTGGCAGAGGGTCTGCTTGGCCCAGGACTCTGCTTTAATAGCCCTCTCAAGCAGGGCTAAAGACTCTGCCTTCATGGCAGGGTGGGGCTGGGTGAAGGCCTTGGCCAGGCCAGGCCAGGCTCCTGGGCAGGAAGCAGCTGGAGCCTCACTGGCTCCCCTTTCTGAGGGGGACCAGGCAGGCCAGTGGTCCAGCTAGGGTCCAAGACCCAGCCTGGCAGAGCACTCTCGAAAGGTCTTGCTGCTGCTGCTGCGTGTTGGTGGCAGGGGCAAGACCAGACCCCAGAAGGAGGGCGCCTTGAGGCCCTGTGGTGAGACCTCCCTGGAAAAGGGTCCCCTGCCATCCACACACCCAACCACCTTCCTGGGTTCCCTGGGGCAGTCTGGATTCCCTGCTGCTCCCCACTCCTCCCCAGCGCAGGGGAGAAGCAGCCCCTGCCCTTCACAACAGCACTGTACTCTTCAGGGTCCCAGCCCAGAGAGCCACCTGTCGCGGTGCACTTGGCTCAAGATGTTGAAATGCATCTGATCACAAGCAGATGCTGCAAAACTTTCAAGGGACAACTGAGCTTGGTGTGGTGGCACAGACCTGTACTCCTGGCACTCCGGGAGGCTGAGGCAGGAGGATCACAAGTTTAAGTCTAGCCTGGGGAATTTAGTGATTTAGCAAGACACTGTCTCAGAATAATAAAAAGGGCTGGAGATGTGGCCTGGTGGTGGAGCAGCAGTAGTTCAAAGTGAAACTCACACCAAATTCTGCCGAGATGAAAATGGAGGTTGTGTGGTAAAGGAGACAGGAGGCATGAGGAAGACTGTAGTCCTGGGGCCACAAAGCCTTTTGAAGGTGTCACTCACTAGGTCCACTGGAGACTTGGCATGAGTGTCCTGGATGACAATTTGTGTCAACAGTAAGCTCAGAGATACGCTAACAGGGTGCAGCTGAATGCTGCTTCCAAGTCATGTAAGGATGGGAATATTCTGATGACCACTGCCCATCTCTAAATGCTGCAGAAAAGTGAGTGTGCATGTGTTTAGACAGGCGAGTGTGAGCACAGGGTAAAAGCGTGTGAGGAAATGCTACCTCTGGGACTAGTCCACCATGGTTTTGATGTAGGGAGTTCCGGGGCTTCCCATGGGCGGACTTCACCCCCACTGTGCGGGGCCAAGGGCAGGGAGGGCTGGAGCCTTGGGAGGAGACTGGATCCCATCTCAGGGTGGCCCTGTGACTGAGGACACACACTCACACGCAGAGGGTGCTCACTCTGTCCTGCAGGCCATCATCAGATGGAGCCCCTCTACCTCACCCAGGCCCAAACTGTGAGCCAAATAAACCTGTTTCCTTGGTGACTCACAGGTGTGCAGTGCTGTGTAGTAACTCCACAGCTGTGTGGCTGTTACTGGCAACAGAAAAGAAACTAGTACAGTTTATGTGTGTCTATGAATTATTTTTTACCTTTGTCATTTGAAGTTGTTCCAAATCAAAGTGGAGGGGTAAAGAGATCACTGCAAATGTGACCCAAGGGCACCAACAGTCCTGGCAGTCTCTCGCCTGGTGCCAACTTTTCAATAGTGTAGTAAATGGTTAATAAACTGCTACTTGGGGGTGATGAGAGTCAGTTTTCAATGACAGTGCCTCACTCCCCAGCACCCCCAGGAGTCTGAAAGCCACACGTGCTCAGGCTCAGGGACACTGTGTGGACAGTGACATGGGAGGAGGCTGGGGGGGACACCACACCACCACAGACCACAGCACACAGCGGTCCTTTTCAGGTTTATTCGTCTGCTAACATTCATTCTCAACCTAGACAGAAACAATTGGGTGATTATGACTTGCTTCTCCGTCATCAACTCTTTTTTTGTATGAATAACCAAAAGATTTCTTCTCAACACTTTTTTTAATAAGAAGCTATAAATAAATAAAGCTTTAAACGCTCCTGGGTTCAAGTGAGACAGTTCCAGTTCCCAAAAAGTTCACAGACTTGTTGCTTGGACAGTTCTGCTGTTCCAGGCTCCCCTCCAGGAGGGCGCATCCGCAGGTCCACAGGGTGCCTGGTGACCACTGGGTCCACTCACCCAGGGAAGCCCCGGTGTGGGGGCAGAGCCCTCAGAGTAGGGATGGGGCTGCCCTGACCTGTGAGGTCCTGGGAGATGCTGTGAGCACAAGGAAGCTTCACACCAAAGGAGGTGGCCTGAGCAGGAAGTGCCGGCCGGACAGCTGTGGGCCCGAGATGGCTCAGCCTGTTGCTGGCCTGGGATGGGACTGTTTTCCAAATGCAGCAGAGACCTAGAGGAGACCCGTGCTTCCATGTGAGTGGGGACAGCAGGGTAGTTAACACATAATATGTACAAGAGAGGCAACACTCAGGGAGCTCACTTCTGGACAGGAGACCATGGCCTGAGAACGAAGGACTGCAGGGCTCCCCCAATACCCCCCACCCTTCTCCCAGAAACAGCCCAAATGAAGAGCACCAGAGCCCCGCCTCCTGATGCTGATGGGGGCCACCCTTCCAAAGAGCCATCCATCACTCACTTGGGCGCCCACATCTCCGGTGTGACACTTGAGAGGGAGGCAGCCCTGGGTTGGGCTGGGCTGGATGATGCCCACCCAGAGCTCATCCTGCCTTTGGACCCCAGGTGCAATAGCAGGCACAGAGGACTGAGGGTGGGGCCGTGTGCAGGCAAACAAGGACGAAACTGCTCCTTCCAGGGGTATGGGAGTCCCCCACCCTTCGTGACAACCCTTTACTCCATGGTGAGACCCAGCAGTGGCCTGGTGAAACTGGAAGCAGGGAGGAGGGGCCTGTTCTACTGCAGGGTCAGCATGCAGCCTCAGGCAATGCCTGTGCCCTGCCAGGGCCAGGGACATGGCATGGGGCAAGTGCTTACAGTGAATATCAGCATGGCTTCTAGCAGGCCGCTGGCCAGCCTCTGAGAGGGTCAGGGAAGTGGCAGGAGAGCCATGGTGGGCAGGGCTGAGCACCTGGGTGGGGTGGGGCAGCCCTGGTCAAGAATCTGAGGGTCTCAGTGCCCTTCCTGATCACCGAGAACCACCATGGCCCAGGGTATGGCTCACGGGCAGCAGCTCTGGTCCCCAGCCCCAGCTGATAGAGCCTAATCATACCTTCATGCATGGGGTTGTGGGATGGTGGTCTATGAGCCCTTGAGTAAAGGTTATAGCAATGGGTGGGGCAGGTCTGGGAGGGTAGGGGAGTTCGTGGTGCCCACCCCCCTTCCTGCCAGAGCCCCGTCTGCCTGGTGGCCCCTCAAGGCCAAGCTGCACTTTGGGCTCTGCCAATGGGCTATTGAGGGGAGTAGGGTTCCAGGGGTTGGACTGGAGTTTTCTCTGCCTCAGCAGGGTGACCCTGGCCTGGACAGCTATAGGAGGCTGAGCTAGGAGCTCCTGTGTCCCAGGGAGGGTGCTGGGTTGGCTGCCTGAAGCTGACCTCTTGCCCTGCTGGCCTGCACAGCAGGGTGAGCGCAGGTGAGTGCATAGTTGGTGTAGGACTGGCTCCTGGCTTGGCTTGTCCTCTCTCCAGGGTCCCTGTCTCTTTTTCCAAACCATTAGCTGATGTGACAGCGAAAGGGATGGGACAGCAGGTACACCACCTCGCCCAGAGGCCCTACCATGCCCACCACACCTGGGGCATCTTTTCAGCATGCTTGCCTGCCCCAGCGGGCTGGACTTATGGATCTGTCAGACCCTGCCTTGGGGAGCATCAAGAATGCCTGGGCTGGCCCTGCTTCCTTCTTCCCACTCTTCCCAGGATGCATGTGCCTTCCGTGCCTTCTGGTGAATGGGTGTGGGGTCTCTCAGCAGTTTCCAGTGGGCCCCGTTTGCAAGTGACCTGTGACCTGCTTCACCCTGCTCTTCGAGGTCTCCCTGCGGCTGCCACCACTACCATTTCTCGATGATGTGGCTCATGTAGTCCTCAGTGGGCACACGGCCTGGCTCCTCAGGGTCCTCACCCGGCAGTGCCTCCTTGGCGCGGTGCAGCAGGCGCTCCTCGCGGGTCCGAAGGCGCTGCTCCCTGCGCTCCAGCTGCCGCTTGTACTGGTAGCGCTGCTGGAAGAGGTCCTTAGCGTAGTCATAGAGCTGCATGTCCAGATCGTTGAGCTCCTCGATGCGCTGGATGGTGTCCTCGTCCACCTCCACACCGCCCGCCCGCGTGCTGTTGTACTGCATGAAGGGCCGGATGAACTTGAGGTTGAACGTCCGCTCGAACAGGTACTGAGTCTTGCGCTGGAACTCAGTCAGGCCAAAGAAGGCCATGCCGCGCAGGTTCTTCTTGGCACTCTCCAGCAGCAGCTGGGCCCGCTTGCCCTCGGGAATGAAGGACAGGTTGTAGCAGCCCACCAGGCTCAGGTCAGCCAGCATGCGCACCTGGCGGTTGTTGGCCAGGTTGTAGGGGCAGTCCATGAACTCCTGCAGCGTGCAGCCTGACCAGTCTGTGCCCTCGTAGCAGGGCGGCAGCTCCTCGGGGGTGGGTGTACGCCCATCGCACATGTGCAGCGAGGTCTTCCACGTGGCTCCGCGCTGCACATGACGCCACTCACTCAGGTAGCGGGACACGGGGTCTCGAAGAAGGGTGATGTAGTAGAACTTCCTGCAATGACAGGAGAAGGGGAGGTGAGGGTACGGTGGGTCACAAGAATGGGGGTCCCACTGTATGCGTGTCTACTGTGGGACCCTTGGACAGGTGGGACTGCTGTGCTCAGCTCTTACACTGGCCATTTCCGAGTAGAAACTGTGGGTTAGAGATGTGACCCCCCAGACAGTGCCCTGCAGTGCCAGCCCGCTCCAAGGAGGGACATCCCCTTTCCTGCCCCTCCTCCTTGGGCAGGGCTGCTACACTGAGCAAGAATCTCAGGGAAGGACCCCTGGGGGGTTTCAGCCAGGGGGCGCTGTCCCCCTTGGGATGGTGGGGGGCCAGTTTCTGGGTCAGTTGGGGCTGCCCTGTGGTTTGTTAGCTACTGGTGCACTACTGCATTCGACCACTCTGCAGTCTCCCTGGGGAGGAAGCACAGGTCCTGCTGAGCCAAGCATCCAGCCTATGTCTGGCTTCATCATCCAGAGGCCTTGGGATGCGGCTCCCAGGGGCTCCCTTCACTGCTACCAACCCAGACACAGCAGCCAGGGGTATATTCAGTGCCTCGCCTGGAGAGCATGCTTTCAGGGACAGTGCTGAACTGTGATCCTGGCCCCTCACTGTGCCACAGCACACTGACCTCCAGCTCAGGCACTCAGGCATGCCCGCACTAGGTCAGCCCAAGGCTTCCAACAGCCAGCTCTTTCTGAGCCCTTCTGTGTGCTTCTGGCCACTCACCAGAATCCAGCCAGTGCCCTGCTGTTGGCCAGCAGCAACAGACATGGCGTGGGGCCCTCATCTGTGTGGCCACCATGTGCTGGCCCTGGGCCTATGTCTGTCTCTGATTTCCTCAGAATTGGGAACTCTGGAAAGGCTGGTGTATATTCCTGAAAATGTAAGACAACTCACACTGCCCAGGGCCACCAGGGAGGAGAGACTGCTGGGCTTGTCTGACTTCTGTCAGAAGGGCAGCTAAATGGAAAGGGACATCTGTGCACAGCACTGTGCCTCTAGCTCAAGGAGGTCATCAGCCCATATGGCTGGGTGGCTCTTGGATGTCACCTCGTAACTGGTTTGACGACATGGCACAGTGAGGCAGTGGCCCTGCCCTGGTGCTCAGGCACCCTGTACAAAGGAAGACCCCGAACTATATATTAATGCTTGTAAAGGGCATCTGGTGGCGATGCCCCACCCGGCTTGACAGCAGCCATAGAGACAAGGGCAGCTAGGATGCCAGGCTCTTCTTCTGTTCCACGGTGGGGGGGCGGGGGTCCAGGCTCTGAAGCAGGTATGGACCGGGTCTTCCTTACCAGTTCTAAGTGCTCCAGACTGTGTGGGGTGGGACCAACAGGACAGGGGTGACAGTGCTGGTGGGAGGGTATCATTCCCAAATGTGTGGCAGGGACAGGATCCTTGGGGGTACAGCCTTGACTCAAGTTGAGGTTAGAGGCTCAGGTAAGGCCAGACCAAGAAGGGTCTTGCCTATTTCACAGAAATACAAGCTCAGGTATGTAATGGCCCCCAGCACAGAATTCACATGGATTTCAAAGATTAAAGCCTAAGACCTCCAAGAATGTCTGCCTTGTGAAATAATTCTAGCGTTCCCAGACTGCAGCTTTCCTGACAGACCTCAGGATTTATTGCCTGGACACCCCCATGCTGGCATTTAATCTTGGCTGGTCTAATGCTTCCTGTGACCTTCAGCTGTTTTGACATTTCTGTGGGCACTGGTGTAGTGTGCCCACAACCATGCAGGAGCCTAGTGGTCAAGGAAGACATTTTCTTCTTGAGTTTGTTCACTGAAATCACAGGAGGCTTTGTTCTGGACAAGGGTCCTGCACAGACTGGTCTGTGACTCAAAATGGAGTCAATCGTGCCAAAGCTCCTGCCACATCCAAAGGAAATTGAAATCTGACAGTCAGGAGAAACCAACAAACAACTAAACTTCTCAGACAAACCAGTTCCAATCAGCATGATAATGATGCTCCCTCTGCCTTTTTACAAAAGTAACCTGATAATAGCTAAGCAGTTATTTTCCTATTGGTACATCTCCCTGTCCTTGCTTTACAAGGAAATCACCTATGAAGGGACCACTCACTGCTTCTCCTCTCTTCAGCCTTTGCTTTCTATAAAACCAGTCCTCAGCTCAGATCCGTGGGACCCTTGTCCTTCTTGTGGAATGAAGTGTTGCCCCTTTCTGGAATCATAAAAACCAAATGAGATGTTTTAATAAGTTGCAGTCCGTGCCTGTGGACAGTTTTAGACACTGCTGCTGGAGCAATTGGCTCTAAAGTTTTGTGGTGTTTGTGTTTTTTTAATTGCTGTGGTGGGGATGGAACACAGGCCCTTGCACTCAGCAGCAAGAGTCCCATAGAGCTGTCCCCTACCCACTGGAGTGCACGTTCTTACAGGGTAACTGCAGTGCAGGCCTGGGCCCTACTCCACTGGAAACGTGTGAAGTAAAGGGATGAGTACAGGACATAGGCAGGAGGGTGGGTGAGCGGGTCAGCTGGGAGGGTGGAGGGTGGACTGCAGTACTGCGGCCCTGCAGGCTCTGTCCCCTGCCACCTTCCAACAGCTGGGGCCCACGATCTCATCCAAGTCAGGGAGACTCCAGCACCACTCAGACTTCATGGATGATGGGCACACTGGGCTTGGAGCGGGGAGGCAACTGACCCAAGGCCAGAGCAGAGGTGAGAACAAGCTCTGAGAGGTCCTACAGTGAATCACAAGGGGTGGGTTAGGAGGGAGGAGCAGAGGCTGCATGCTGGAAAGCACACTTAAATCTTAGCATGTGGACCACCAGCCACCATCTGGACTAATAACCTTATCAACCCAGATGCAACGAGTACTTCTTCCTTCAGACTGTCAAGCAATGTTTCCTGTTTAGCACAATCCCACTCCTCTTATCTATGGCCATAGGAACAGTGTTAAGGATTTATTCTTTCCTTCTCCCAATTTTCATATATATAATAAAAAAAAATTTTTTTTTTTTAACAATCTCACTATGTAGCCTAGGCTGGCCTTGAACTTGGAGTGATCTTCCTACCTCAGCCTCCCAAGTGCTGGGATTACAGGTGTGTGCCACCATGCCTACCCCTGTAATAATGCTCTTAGCTTTTTCCTGGCAACTCTGGGAGCCTGTCCCAGGACCTGATCCTTTTCTGGCTGGCCTTCATGACTGCTCGATAAATACTTTTATTTCAGAGACCATTTTTTTGTCTCTAGAGTTTTAGTTTAATACAAGGCAGTGCCAACACCCCGTCCCCTGCCCCGCCCAGCAGTACTTCTTTTTCCTTCCTCTGCCAGACAAGACAGTACTGGTTTGACCCAAACTCGTGCTCAAATCTACCCATTCCTGACTCCCACCTTCTGGAAGTCTAGGACTTTGAGGCTAGCCTAGGAAACATAGGGACACCTTGCTTCTAAAGAAAAGAAAAAAAAAAAGCCAGGCATGGTGATACCTGTCTGTAATCTCAGCATGCTGGGAGGCTGAGGCAGGAGGATCACAAGTTAGAGCCAGCAAAGCCCCCTGGCCCACTGGGTGTGACAACTGCACTGGGGTCACAGTTTTGTAAAAATTACACACGCTCAGAAAACGTACCACCCAGGACAGTAACAGACTACTCAATGGCTATCTCAGAACAGTGAAATTAGGGATATCCCCACCCCCAGCATTTTATTACAAAAATTTCAGAATTACAAAAAGTCGGAAGTTCAGTGAAAACCTGTAATCCCAAAATGGGTGATTTTAATTATTTTCTTTACATATTTCTGTGCTGTCTGCAACTATATACTACAGCTTGAGCATCCCTAATCTGAAAATCTGAAATGCTCTAGAAATTAAACTCCTGAAGGCTGACAAGACACATGGGAAAATTCTACATCTGACCTCACGTGATAGCTCAGTCAAAATGCAGGTGTCCTAAAGACCATACAATCACCTCCAACCTATGTATGTAAAGTGTATATGAAACATAAATGAATTGTATTTAACTTAGGTCCCCTCCCCAAGTTACCTCATAGTATCTATACAAGCACTCCAAAGTCTGAAATCCAAAGCACTTCCGTTCCCCAGAATTTTGAGTAAGGATTACTCAATCTGTACACAAATAATTAAAATAGTGTCACAACTGCAAAAATGGCCCTGTTGCCCAGGATAGGGTTTTGGGGTGCAAAGGGCCTTGGAAAGGGTAGTTCTGCCAACATCAGTCCTTTGCAAGGTCACAAGGTCCCAGCAGGCTTCACTTCCCATTGTGGGACTGAGCAGAGGCCTTTCATAGTAGGTTCTAACCCACCAGATCCAAACGGGCACCTTAACACAGCTGGGCTGTACAGCAGTGCGGCAGAAGTGCGGCTCCCCACTGGGCACAAGGGCTCAGCTGCTCAGTTAGTTGATACAGCAGGAGGTTTTTCAAAGCAATGCTCTCAAACTCCTCCAGACATAGGCAAGGCCATGTGCACTGTAAAGAGTCCCTGATGCTGGCCTCGATGCAGTACCAGGAGTGCCACTGTGTTCTCCCCAGGTTGCAGAGTGCTGAGGTCCCCATGGCGGGCCCTTTGAGTGTCCTTCCCCCAGACTGTGTACCCTGATCTCTCAGGGTCCAAGGTACCCTTCATGAGGACTTGTGAAGATTGGACCCAGATGACTCCAGAAGACTGAGAAGTCCAAAGGGTGGGTGCAGGCAGTGTGATTCGAGGCACCCAGTGATGATCCCCTGCCTGGGGCTCATGGGCATCAAAGGGCAGGGGCTCTCTGCAAGAAGTGACTGGACCCAACTGTGGCTTGAGTGCTCAGGAAAATCAAAGTCACCAAGTCTCACTGTGAGGTGGAAGCCACATGGGGCTGGTGCCTCCTCTCCTTCCGGTAGCAGGAAGGGCTGGCTGGTGAAGGTTCCCGGGGCTGTGTCCCCTCCCCTCTGAGAGGCAAAACTTCAGGCAAGGAGGTGAGGGGTGAGAGGACAGCCCACAGGAGACGACCTGCTCCCAAGAGGCAGGAACCAACAGCCAAACGTGTG